GCCCAGTTTCGATGTCTTGTCTGCGTCGCAATCTTGGTCTGCTCTCTCTGCTCGGACTTCTCTTACCCTCTCCACGACTCACGTTATCTCTCCGTGCCTGCGTAAGCGGCTCCTTTCTTGGTTTCGCTGTTGATGATCGTTATATTAGCGTAAAGCAAGAAGGCTCGTATTTCCTGTTTTGCACGACTTCCTTTCCTTTTTTTACACGCGCAGTCTCGCATCCCTACTTTCATATGTCAGTGAAACAACCACATCAGTTTATTCTTTTTCTTGCCTTTTAAGGCTTTTTCAGCGTAGTTCATTGGAAGACACTGCCATAACCTTTTTTTTGAATTTTCAAATATAGAGAGGGCGGAAGTGGTGTAGTGACAAGTGGCGCGCTTACCACGCGAGCGGTCCGGGGATCAAATCCTGGGTCGTGAGTCGCCCGGGCCAACCAAGCCTTCCATCCCTCCGGGGTCGGTTAATTGGTACCAGACTTGTCTGGGAGGATAAAAACACTGACTTGTACATCGGCTGGCCCCCGCAAGTCATTGTATAGGCCACATCGCATTCAAACGCCACTACGAATGTACAAGTAGAATGCGTGCCGCATCCCAAAAAGGGATTGATCAACGGCAAATGCTTTATCCTTTATTTTATTTTTATCCGAAGCTGTTTCAGGGTAATTTGGCACGTATAGCCACCGGCATCTTCTTCCTCGGATTGCAGTTCTTCCATGTGAGTTGAATACGATAAGATTCAAAAACAAGTACAATGTATGCCGCTCCTTTCTAGATTTCACTGCTGATGATCATTATCGCGAAATACCAGCGAATTTTCAACCGACGAAATGGAATCGTCATCGACGCACCGGTGAGTGTGTAGTTGTGCCCAGAAACTGAGAATGTTTATAATATCCCTTCTCTACCGTACTTAGTAGTAACTAGACTGAACAAGGCACATCTTTTGATAAGCGAGTGAGTAAACCCCACTCTAGTGAAATATACTAGTCTTGATTACTGAAAATA